CAGTCACTGAACTACAAGATGCCATATGGTGTCATTTCACTGTAGGCCACACCAAGCATTTACTGGTGGCATCTACCTATCACCTCACCTGAAGATCAGAGCACAACCAGCTACTGCTCAGCACAATCACAATGATGCGGGACTTGTGCTATGACCAAATCACTACAGTTGGCGATTTCAGTTCCCTGTCCCCAAACCATGGCTCGGGGTATGCTCAGGGGAAATTCAGTGGAAATCCGTTACAAACCATTAGAAATACAGGACTGACTGAGAATTAAGGAGACGATACTGGGTGTGGCCCCACTGGAAAGTATCCCAACTAGTGATCACCTATTTGTCAAAATGTCCAAATCGTCAACCCCCCAGGGAGTAGTGGCCATGCAGTATTAGGATTTTGTCATATTCTTCATGAACGCTGACATTGAGACGCCACGCGACCATGTCTGTGCTATAGCAAAAAAGACTATGCCTAAATGAGAAAATTTTTCTCCCACGCACAATGGCCCATGGAATGGACTTAGTTATCCGTGTACGATCACTGGGAAGTGCTAAAAGAGATTATTCACACAGCAATCTGAGATACTGCCCCTCCAGTAACAACACAGACGAATAAAGCATCCTCTTCACTGAAGAGGGTATACAACGTATTCTGCAAGCAAAGCAGAAAGCCTGGTGTATGTGGCGAATCTGCAGAGACAGGCAAAACACGGTGCATACCCGGAACTCAGTAACTGGTGCAACACAAAAGTCGGGGGTGACAGCCGGTCATTTCTTGCAAATCTTGCCAAAAGCTCCTGGAGAATCTCAAAGCATATAAAGTTCGTGTCAAAGGGAAAACCAGCCAACTAGGGTTAGCCCTATTAGGTCAAAACGGTCAATAACTCGCTTGTTGGGAAATAGCTGAAGCATTCAATTCAGCTTTTGCTAAACAGTAAGAAAGCAATGTGAGTATTACGCGTATATAAATAAATAAATTTATTCTCATAGTACAGTACATGAGGGACGCCAGTTTACAGGCATCATCAAATTGTTACAGAAATAGAACCATATAATTCAATCACAATTTACAGGCAGTAGCAAGATATGCCTTATATGTTCGCTAGAGATTATACACACACTTGATAAATGTTAATCCCAGTAGTATAAAACAGCCTTTTAACCTATATACAATCATTTCTGTGCACAGTTGGAAAAATCCGCTAGATTGTCAGTGAGTGCAACACATCAGGAAATACAGAAGTATTGTCTTCGCATTAACAAAAAAGCAGGTCTTTGGTGGATGGATTATAAGTGTCTGGGAAAAAAATAAAGCTTGAAGTAAATATTCATACATAACTTTGTTGTGTGCAGAATCCTGTGTCGGTGGCACAGTGGTTAGGACTCTCGCCGACCATGCACATGGTCCGGAGTTCGATCCCCTGCCGGCGCACACCCGATATCTATGGTCGGCCTGAATTTGGGCTACCGATATCCATGCTGAAAATTCCATACTTGTACTGAAAATACGGTGTGGAATCAAGCTGTAAATCAAAATAAAACAAATAAAATAATTATAGTTCATTGATGTGTTATTTTGAAATCAGTGATTTGTTTATCTCATTTGATCTGCAATGCCATTGTTGGGAGTAAATACATAAGCTTCAGACGCACCTATTAATGGATTTCTACTGCTTGTGGGTAATTTCTTAGCGTGAGGAAGGTTTATGAATTTCAGCTGTTCCGACAGGAGTTGAGAATATTAACTGCTCAGCAACATTATGGATATAAGTTCATCACATTATCTCAGGAAAGGTGGATTGATGTTGGTGAGGGATATATGGTGCCCAACGAGCGTACATCTGTCCATGTGATGTGGTGAGTTATACCTTTTTAATGTTGTCGGTTTATGTCCATTTTATTCCAATTATTGTGTTGGGTAGTATTTTTACAAACGAGATTTCTTGTCTGTTTGAGGATACGTATCTTAACCGTTAATGTTTTATCTAGAATTATGAATATAGGCCAAATATGCGTCACCAATATTTTACCGAAGGTGAACCTATTGGTTACTCTCCAAATAAAATGGGCAATGGTAATAGGGAAGTTACAGACACTCACATCTGGAAAGTACACGGGTTGTAACGAATTCGTGCCATCTGTTCCGAAACAATGCGCAGAAGCTCCTTGTAGGCCTTTGTGTTTCTGGTTCCAGTGCTCGAGGGACTCAGGAAAATTGCCAAGGGATCGGAAAAGAGCCATCCTTTCTCCACTTTTAAGGTTGGGGTCAGTCGAAATGCCACCAGTTACAGTCCAGTAGTGCTACTCTCAGTGGTACCAAAGGTACTGGAAAGTCCATCTGGTGACCACACTCGGGAATACCCTAATAGGACTAATAGACTCCTCGAAGCACAACATGGCCTCAGGAGAGGCAGATCCTGTTCAACAAACCTACTATCACTTTGGAACGACTAGACACCATGCTGTGATATGAATTTTCCAGCCCAAGTCATCTTTCCAGACTCTGAGAAGACATCTGGCACAGTTCACTATGATCTTCTGCTTCACAAAACAAGTCAGGCAGGTAAAAGTGAGCGGATTCTGCCATGACTAAGAGACTACCTATATGTAAAGAAATCCTGCACTGAATTTAGTTGTGTCCGATCATTCTGGCACAGCTTGTCTATCCTAGGACCACTGATATTTTCGATTTTTATCATTGACCTAGCATGTTAAGCTGCCCGACTTTTCTTGACACTGACAACGTAGAGATTTGGAGAGCTATAGAGTCCTCGGGAGACTCATGTAGGCTGCAGGCAGACCTGAAACTTCTGGAAGACTAGACGGTGGCTAATGGTATGACTTTCAACCTGAAAAGGTGCAAAGTAGTGCAATTACGCACCTGTAGTCTGCATAATGTAAGTTACATCCTGTGCAACGAAAGCTTGTCCTGCACAATGTTGGAGCGTGACTTAGATCTAGTCCCAATGGGGAAAGTTGATATAGGCGTTAATTACACAGGGGATGAAGCGAGGCCATATTCCGTCATACACTCTACACATAGACAGTCAGGTGCACTCACTAATTAGCCCTTTCTTAGGTTGTACAAAACATACTTTAGACCACATTTTGAAGTGCACAATATCACTGCACACCGACTTCACAGAAGAGAGGCGAACCTTTATGGAAGAGTCCAAAAACGGGCGACATAAAGAGTCGTGGGTCACCGAAACAAACCAAATGATAAACGGCTAAGGTAATGAGGTTTCTTCACACTAAAGGGGGACTTGATTACTGCCTATCGGATTGCAAATCGCCAGAATCACCCAAACACAGGTATTCTGCCACTCAGCACATAGGATAGCTTACCGCCACGCCAAGACTCGAGTGTTCTCCCAATTCTTTTCTCTGAGAGTTTAACGTCCTTTAACTCCTTATCAGCAGCTGTAGCTAATGTGCCGAGCGTGGACAGACTCAATTGAGGGCTGGACAGTCATGCAGAGACAGAAGCACTGCGTACAAATGGCCTATCCACTTAAAACTTGCGCACGATAAGTGGGTGGACACCTAAACTTATCGTTTTACTTCTTTGTATTCTCTCATGTCCTACTCTCCTGACTACTCCAACTATTACTTCCCTTATACTATTATTATTGTTATTAAGATGTATACGTGCATTTATTATATATACATCATAATATCCGAATTTCATTAGCCATTTCATTCAGATTTCAGATTTATTGGTTGAGGATAAAAGACTTGGAGCCTATGTTAATCCTTTTCTAATAAATTTCTGTGGTTGTCCAAACCCTTCTTGAACGAATCAGTTGAGGTTGCAGACACCAATTATTCTGGGAGTCGATTCCAAGAGCTTATGACTTGGTGTGAGGACCAGTACTCAACAGCAATATCACTTCTCCTTGGCTTTATAACTCCCTGTTATGTCCTCTAAGGTGTTCTGACCTGGTGGGAAGGAAAAGAGAGAATTGGTCAGGTCCGTAGTCATTATTTAAGATTTCAAACACTGTGGTTAAGTCTCTTCTCTGCCTACGGTATGACAGGGAGTAGCCATTTAAACTGTCTAGTCTTTCCTCGTATGATAAGTTAGTCAGTCAGGCTGTGAACCATACGTGTTGCCTTCCCTTGAGCCATTTCTAGAATGTGTGAGTCCTTTTCTTGACAAGGATTGGTGGTCTGGATGCAGTTTTCCAGTCTTGACCTCACCAGAGATGTATATAAGGAGGAGAACATATCTCTGATGATTCTAGTAAAGACTCTGCGAATTGCCCATAAGGACCTGAAACTGCGTGTAGCCACCGCGCGACAGTGTGCTGTAGTTTCTAAGTCGGGGCTCACTATGACACCTAAGTCCAAGTGAGTCTGAACTGATGAAAACGTTTTTCCCTCTAGTTCGTAGGAGCTCGTGCTTGCTTGTCCAATGCTCATGGTTGCACATTTCGCCACATTGATCGGGAGCATCCATTTTATGCGTTTTTTCTTTCTTTTTCTTTTTAAGTCTACACAGACTACACTGATGATATCTGTTATTGTTATCTCTTATTTCGACAAAACCAGAAGACTGACGGATGAAAGGATCAACTTTATTCACGGTAACAACACGGCCTTAACACACCTCATACAACAAACTACACATACTTAATTCCAGTATAACTCATTTTGGATTTGACCATAGCTACGATAGTTAGGTGACAAAAATAACTAGCTGGAAGTTTTCGAGGGCCAAGAATTTCAACCTCACAAGCAGGAAGCGGGCATAAAGAAATCCGATTAGCTTACACTGGTTCTTAAAATACCAAATTGGATGCTGAATAACCTTTGTGGCGCCAGGCTTAAAATGTTAATACTGAGTGATGGGTTTATGTGTGAGTTATGGAAAATGGTAGAATCTTCACAATAAGATGGACCAAGAACTGTCATATTCCACTACTGTCGAGCTTTCAATTGCTTGCAGGTTTGTTTGAGATAAATATCACTATTTAACTGCAGAAATTTATGTGATACTGATGTACTATCAAAATCCGATCCACGTATGTCCTGTACATTCATCTACAACGTGTTTCTTAGTCATTGTTGTGTTCGAAAAGTCATTTCCGGATGATCAGTGGGTTGAGCTGGATAGAACAGAGATAATCCAGAACAACCTAAATCCAGACTTTGCTAAGAAAATTGTTATGGAATATCATTTTGAAGAACAACAAAGACTAAATTTCGCCGTGTTAGTACTCAAATTTATTTTCTTAGTTTCTTAGGTATGATGTTGACAGCAAATCCGACAAATTGGACAAACACGTAGGCATATTTATTACTCATATATGTATCAATATAGGACTTTTTGGGAAATTGTGAAACTACTCTAGGGGAAATTGCATCGTCAGGTAAAATCACAAAGCCGCTAAAGTAAGCGTGTATTTTTTCAATACTATGCCTTAAGAAATGGTCCTTCAAAAGACTGTGGTTCAATTATTAGTAAGTACTAAGTAATATTAACTAGAGACTTATTTTGTAGTTTCTGCTGAGGAAGTTTCTTCTTGCAAAGTAAGCCGATGTTTCCTTTGTAAAGTTATTTTTTAAAGGACGAACTTACACTTGATCTTTCAGGAAGGATGCTGGATAAGAAGGATATATTCGGATCTTCTGACCCTTTCCTAGCATTTTATCGAGTAAATGAAGACAGAAGGTAAGACTACTTAATAATTTCACTTAAGATTATTAATGGTGTCCTAGTGTCTTTTGGATAAATTAATTCCTATTGTATATATGACTTTTATGTGTATCATTTACTACTTGTAATGTTTGCTGAAGAAAGACAATAAGTGACAATAATAAGGAGGAGTAAAAGCTCTTTAATACCAGGATTTGTGTACTGTTTTGCCCGTAAATCTTTTAAAGACTTGAAGTAACAAGCTGACTCGTATTGCAAGAAAGGCTATGAGTAAAGGTCTTGTTGAGTGTGATTTCAACAAATTTAAAATTGCAGGCGGAAGTTACACCGGTGAAAGATTTTCTATTTTTAACCTTTATAGAGATGTTTGTTGGCTATAGCATTCGATGAAAGGGGTCTAGGTTCAGCTTCCACCTCACTTATTTCAGCTGATTTGATTTTGCACTATTATAAGCCCCCATATAATGTGTATGTCATAACCGAAAAATTTTTTTATTCCAATTTAAATGAACCTGTTCCGTAATCTGCTTCTTGATATTGTAAGGTAAAAACATCAGTGGATAAGCATTTGTTAATAGTGTCTATATCTAATCTTGCTTTGCATATCAGAATTTATGAATCATCCAGGAAGTTTATGCTTTTATAAGAAATGCTCAAACTTCACTCATCAGTACTGTAGGCTGATTTATGTAAAAGTAACATTTTTTCAGTGTGACTAAACTGAAGCTATTAAACTCAAAAGGTTGTAATTCAACATGTTTTATACATATTTCGGGCAAATCAGCCGGTTTTGGGTCAGAGTTGCATGGATTGATGTTTCCTATTTGCTCACGATTTTGTTGAGGACTAACCTAACTTGCAAGTAGTGTTATGAAGGAAACCATAATTAAAGAATTATGAAGCCTGCAGTTTATAGTTACAGGACAGGGAGTGGGTGATAAAATGTGTCAAGCACCCCATCTTTTTAAGAGATCGCATCAGCCATAATGGACTACTTGCTGACCAGATATCATTACAGATATGAAAGGTTCGTTTAGCACATGCCAAGGTGCGTCATCCAGCAATTCGTTCTGTCCTACTTTACGACCGTGAGAGATGATCACTGGGAGTAGGTACGAAAAACCAGTGCATTCCGACTACATATTGCCTTCGTTGAATTAATTGTATCAAATGGGGCAATATGGCAAATATTTATGTGGCTAAGTGTAATGTCAGGTAATTCGAAAAAGTCGATCGATGAGGTTATGAAGCTTTGTTAGTGGAGGTGGTCAAGGCATGTGCTGTGCATGCCGATCAATCACCTTCCCTAACAAGAAATGCCAGTTGAGGTAGTATAAGTTAGAGTTGTCATACTGCGATATGACGATAAGCCATGAGGTGATTAGCTGCTAGTCTGAGCCAAACAGGTAAATATGAGAATTATTCAGTACTAACAGAGGTTCTTGGCTGCAATCGCACTGAATAACAACAGCCTGTGTATGTGTTGCTTTTGTCCCGATACTTCCTTTATGGTTACATTTCACTATCTTGATAGATGAGTTTGATCGTCGTTCTTAAATAAGAATCATGAGAATTGTCAAGTATATCGAATTAGGATCAGCAGAAGTAATGACAGCCTACACTATCTCCATATTACTCTGTATTGGTGATCAGGGAATTGTCTCTATGTCATGTGCTGGTAATTCATATCAGCTTAAAGCAGACAGCTAATTCAGCATTTGACTAGTCGCTATGTAGTGTATAAAGACGTCACGTAACTCGTCTTGATTATTTTGTATGTTAATTACTAACCATTTTATTTCCAAATTTTGTGTGTATACTACTTTCATCGATAGTCGGACGGTTGTTTATCGTACTAAAGAGATAAGAAATACATTGAATCCTAACTGGAAACAAATGGTCATACCAATGAGACTTTTATGCAATGGAGATCATGACAGGTTAGTATTATCTTGTATTTTACTTAGCTAATATCACATTTCAACTCCCTATCATGAACTTATGCAATCTTTCCGACTTCCAGCACCTACTATACTTTTATCCATTATCTCCAGCATCTGTTAGACATTCTAAAATAGTTGGTTGTCATAGTCTATACATTGTGTATTTAGTTTTACAACACTTGTGTGGTATGACACTTTAATAAATTTTGTTTCGTATAATTATTATTTCGGTAAAGGTGTTGCATAAATAATTCTTCCATGAAAATATGAAGTATTTGACGGACTGCAATAAACGGACTTCGCTGAATCTCTTAACTGGTAATTTTTTCGTTTGAACAGTTTTCATGACTGGTGATAACGAAGAAATACAGTACTATCACTCATTAGATATAACTTATCCAGTGGGAACCATTTATGTCAACCAGTGGTGATTATTTATCAAATTAATGTGATTAAGACACTTTCTTAAGTTGATACTATGGATAAAGATACTACCATCAAAGGAAGTAAATTCCATACACCTTTTCCTATTCGTATGAGATAATTTACTCTGTTTTCTAAATTTTTGTTTGCTAAACCAATATACCGGCAATCGTAGCTCTGAGTGTGATTTTGTCATGATGAAAGGTGTATAACATTTGTGAAGACATGTTAATTTCCTTAGCTTTATCGATATTGTGACATGAAGACTTATGAGAAAATAACAATCAGTTTTTCTGCAAATATTTTTTCTCAACCGTTTTGGCTGCATGTATTACCTTTGGGTTCAAGTTAACAAAACTTTAAATATCAATAAAAAATTACGTTCTAAAGTAATACAGATACTTTAACCTCCTAAATGAAATAGTATAAAGGTTCATCGCAGAAAGATAATTCACTTTAACCAAAGAACTATATGCTTCGGTGTTCAAAATAAGGAGGGTCAAAAGATTCTTCTTTGAAAAAGTGTTCTGATTTGTTTTAAGTTTTATCACGGATTGATGTCAGTTAAAGAACGTGAAAATCAGGGAGCACTAGAAAGCTGTTTCTTCCTAGTTTGGGACTTGTTGACAATACACATCCACCGGGTTTCGAACTCAGGACCTTCAGGCTGCAAGACAGGCTTGATGACTATTCATCCACTGGTACACGATCCAATGGCAAATGAATTCCAACTCCAAACTTGGAACAAATCAAATCCCCAAAAACAAATCCTTGAAAATGTTCTGATCCGTTGAACCATACACTGGACTGAGAAATATACTCTAGGAGATGTAGTCTTCGTTTCACAAAAACTCGAAGATCTACAGGCGAAAACCAGCAAGTTTGGGGTTGAGGCAGCGTGAAAAGACTTCAAGTGAACACACAGAAGTTAGTTGTGATAAGGGTACCTAATCAGCAATAACAAGCATTAATAACCATCAACGTGAGAAATTCAAAGGAAGTCGCCTTTTCCACTTATTTAGACGGCATATATAAGGATGTCAAAGCCAGGATTGATAAAGACAGACAAACCTTCATTACTCTGATATCAATCTGGAAATCTTCTGCACTAGGCATAAAGAACAAGATCCGAATTTTCAACACTAATGTCAAGTCAGTTAGTGTTCCAATATGACTCAGCAACCTGGTTAACTTTTTAGCAAAAACGTTTTCAACAGCCGACTACAGACTTATCAACCTCTGCCTTCGCTCTATATTGAAATCAGATGGCCAACCGGAAAAGATTGGTAATAAAGAACACTGGCGAGAAACCATCCAAGAATCTGTCGCCCAACAGATATATCGAAGAAAATGGAGGTTGAGTAGCAACACACGTAAGGCGGAACCCGAAATAGCGACGACGTGTTGGGCGTCTGAGTATGATATGAAGGAGTTGAAAGCTTAAGGTCATTCATGGAGCTAACTAAAGCAGATTGCGGTAAACACAGTAGAGTTCAGGAATGTGTTACAGATGCCCAATGTTTCACTCGCAACTCAAAGGAATAATTATTATTTTGATTTTTCAAATGAATGTAGTAATTGAAAGCCTAATTTCTGTTTCTCATGATCTAAGCTTTCTGTATTTTTGAAGAAGAAGAATAGGTCACTGTTTTTATGTTTAACCGTTGCAAGATTATGAATATTATAGCCACTTTTTATATAACCTGATATTATACCGGAAAAATCTTGTAAGAGATTTATTACAACGCATTTTATTATGCTTCATCAAATCAATTTAATGTATTCAATGAATCAAAGTTAGCTGTTTTGTTTTTGTTATTGTTGAAATTATTTCATTTTTCAGACCAGTGGTTATTGCCTGCATTGACTGGAATAGAAGTGGAAGGTAGGCAACTTTATTTGTAATACTTAAATTTTATATTCTGCTTAAGAAAGCTATTGTTCTATCTGTATTAAGACTGACATTTACGGTTGTTCGATGAATTTTATTTGTCACCTGTAACTGGTTATACAATTCTCTAACTGTGATTGTGGCAATCTGTTGTTTGTTTTTCCCTTGAAATGTATACTGCCTTTGGTTAGCCAGAGTGTCTCAGGCATAACTGTGAGCAGGTAGTCGATTATCATACTTCAAAGTAATAATTACTTTCAAAATTCTAGAAAGTCATGTTTAATGGAAACGCATCTCAATTCAAAAGTGCAATTATTAATCTGAATTCTACTTTTAATTTTCAGTTTGATTGGATGGAGGATTTCATCATAAGCTGACATCAGTTAGAGAACCACTGGAAAATCTGGGAGTACTGGACAGCTGTTTCGTCCTAGTTTGGGACTCTTCACATTACGCACCCACTTCCAGGGTTTGAACCCAGCACCTTCTGGTTAAAAGGCGAGCTCCATCCAATCAAAGAAAATCCCTACAAAACCAATACCTGAAAATTGATCTGATTCTCACTAGCGGCTGGCCCTATTCAGGCGGTGACCTGGGGTTTTAGTAGGAAGCTGTGACCAGTAGTGTACAGCAGGTTGGAGATAAGGCAGTAACTCATCGAAGAAGACATTGTGAAATGATCGCACTATGTCATGAATTGGTAGAAGCTAAAATTCATGGACTGGCCACTGGATCACGTCCCAGTGGCTCAATGGTCTACGAGCTCGCCTTATAATCAGAACGTCCTGGGTTGGAACGGTGGTGTTGGGTGCGTGCTGACAAAGAGTCCCAAGTTAAACTAATGAAACAGCTGTCAGTCCAGTACTACCAGGTTTTCCAGTGGTTCTCCAACTGATGTCAGCTCATGATGAAATCCTCCATCCAATCAAACAAAATCCCAATAAATCAATTCTAGAAAATCTTAACCTTTAGTTGTAATAACTGTGCAGTAGCAACTATTTTCTGATAAAGAAGAAAAAAGGCAAAGATTCTTACGCTTTTCTTTTTTTTACATCAGTAATGTTTGTTAAACACTAATTATTAAAGTGTTGATGTTCAAAGACTTACTCACAAATCTTAACTGTGCATCCCTTCTACAGTGTGATCCATATCCCTCACCGAAATTTCATATTATTTAACACCTGTAGATGAAAACTTCAAATTTTGTAATTATTTTCCTATTGGAGATATGATATCATAGAAACTATTATTTTATTCAACGTCGAATTATTGCCCTTAATTTATTTGTTCGTAGTAGTCTTATCCTATTATCCTAACATTGTCAAAATTGTCTAGAATTTTAAAGAATTAAGAAAAGCTTAGAATCGTCAGTACTAAGTGGAAATCTGTTACACTCAATATAAGTAACAAGTTTTTCAACACTAATATCAAGTCAGTGATTTTATGTGGGCTGGAGACTTGACATTTCCAACAGGCTACAGAATTTCATCAATAGCTGTCTTTGCTTCATAGTCTAGACCAGAGAACCGGACAGAAAGGATTATAAACAAGAGACTCTAGATTCACTAGACAAGTATACCAAAGAAATGGAGATGGACTGGACACACGGACGACGAGACCATTTAGTGATATCACACGCCAGTCAGCCCATCGAATGGGACCTAAAGGGAAGTGGGTCTAAAGATGACACGAAGAAGATCGTGTGTAGAGGACATGAAAGGTCTTTGGTAATGGCTGAGCCAGCTGTAAAGGATTGCAGAGAAGTGAGTGAAATGGAGATATGCTGTTGAAGCCTGTTTAGTTCCCCTCGAAACCCGGGGGAATAATAATTTAAGTAGTCATTTGTTGGAGCAGTAGGCAGTCTAGTTGACATCACTATATACAGAATGCATTAACCTCATAGTAACTGTCTCTAAATATCATAGGGGAATTATACTCACATAGCATCCAGTATATGAGTGCAGCATTAATCTTATGTCAGCAATGATCTTGAATTGCTTTTAGGTAATATATTTTATTTGAGCAAATACACTTCCAAATGTACTGTTTCTTATTTTCATCTTTCCCTACAAATTTGCATATGTCTGTCTATTTTTATACTGACAGCAATATTTTATCCAATGAGAATTCCTCATATTCCACTTCTTTTCAGCACAAGTTTGTTGAATTCTATGATAATGTCTACTTAAAATGCATAACAAAAGGTGTTTTTTTTAATTTTTACTCATAATTGTAATTTTGTTAACGTCAATCTACACTTTACTGACTTAAATACTTCATCGTCAATGAATGTGTCATTTATGTTGGTTACACTTCTGTCTAAAAAGGCTTTGATAGGCAGTTAGTCTTTGTCTACAGATAGTCTAATCCACATCGTGTAGCGACAAGTAGTACTTTCCGTGCTCATTATGTATCTGTATCTATTATTATTTGCAGTTATGCAATGAGTTCACTGTGTTTTTCTTTTTTTTTGCACTCATCGTGAAAATATTTTGTACTATTGCATAAAACCTAATGAAAAAAGTTATGTATCTGACTTCTTGTATCAATTCTAAAATGTTAGCTTTATTGTTTACGTACAAGTTAATTAAGTCAATGTATGCTGAATTATGTAACAATTATATTTGTATAAATCTCATTAAAACTGACGCTTTGTTTGACAAACTGGTCTTTCATGTCGGTGCCCAACTTTTCGGTTTAATCTTGATGCAAATAGTTTGCTTAAGAATTTCAAGAGATTTTTGTTCAAGTTAATTTTGTATTTCCCTTTGATTGATTACACTGGACCGAAATGTTTTGTCTTTGTTGACATGTCGGCTACTAGTACAGACGCCTCGATCATGTCTAATGATTAACATGACGTTTAAAACGATGGCTGCTGGGTTCAAGTCTCAGTGGGAATGCCATCACTCACTGTGGATTGCGGATACATTCAGATCAACAAGCCTCAGATAGGATGAAATTGGCATCCTGCATCCTACTGCTAGTTGACATTCACCAAATAATTTCAAGAGATATTACTTGCAGTTTGTCGTATAGTATACAGTTATGGTATATTATTAAGTGTCAATATTAATTTAGTATGATATATAGAGGGAAAACATCATTCACCTTGCAGTTTTAAGTACAGGAGCTGTTGTATAATGTTCTAAAGTGTTTAATGACTTAGTGGTATGAACACGGGCAATAATTATGCTCGAAATATTACCAAGAACAAAACTTATCATTGTGTGTAAACTATTGCAATATCATTATACTTTATTTTAGTATCTTATGTATTTTGAATCTCTTCATTATAATTATAGCTGTTCAAAATGATTAATTTCAGATTAATTAATTTAGTGTTCAAATACAACAGTTATCTATACAATGTAGATTTTGCCACAAACCGATGCTAGTTAGAGAACTGCAGGAAATTAAAGACTGGTAGACGTCTGTTTCGTCCAAGCCCAGGACACTTCAGAAGTTCATCATGATTTTTAAGTAATCTCTAAATGACTTGGCATTAGAAATTTAAATACTTTTGTTGTTTAACCACATTGATAGTGTCTATTACCATTATTATTCCCTTGGATTCCAAGCGGAACATAGGGCTTCAGCAGTACGTCTCTATTTCACTCTCTTCTCTGCAGTCCTTAATAACTGGCGACACGATTACTTATAAGCTTTCATTTCTTTATCGTATGATCTTCTCCATGTCAGACTCGTACTCACTCCCTACTTGTTGTTTCCCATTCAGGTTCCACCCGAAGGTCTGCTTGGTGGGCTATGTCACTAAATAGTCTCCTCACCCATGTGTCCAGTCCATTTCCATTTTTTTGATTATGGCTTGAAACCACACAGTATTTTTGGTACAAGTATGGAATTTTCAGCATGTGTTATCGGTAGCCCAAATTTTGCAGGCCGACCATTGATATCAGGTGTGCGTCGGGAGGGGATCGAACTCCGGACCATATGCATGGTTGGCGAGAGTCCTAACCGCTGTGCCACCGTTTAGTGATAGGTTCTTAGTCGGTTTTTCAGAATACCAGAGTCTCTTGTTTCTAATTCTTTCTGTCCGGTTATCTGATCCTCATTAAGCAGCAAAGGCGGCTGTCTCTGTAGTAGACGTGATATTTGGCTATCGACCAAAGGGTATGTGTACTGCTCAGCAGTCCGCTCCATCCTCCTTTATGACTGTCGGTGAGACATGGCCACTGAGAGTGGAAGACATGAAAAGGCTAACTGTCTTTGATCACATATGTCTGCGTCCTATCTCCCGTATTAGGTGATAAGCGTAATGAGGTGAGCAATATTGAAGTTGGGCATCGGTCGAGTGCTAAGTAGGTAAGAGGGGAAACCAATCGACGGGGCTATGAAGTTACACCAATTAAGATGGTTAGGACGTGTGTTACGCATGCCTAGCTATCGATCGCCTTCCTCGACGGGCAATGCTATATGACATAGCATAGATTGGAAAAGAGCTGCTAGTGGCGGTTAAACCAAAACATGGCTTATCAGTCAATCAAATTCACAACAGTTAGTTTAAGCCAGCCTGCTGGCGCAGGGCATTCACTCTTTGTGACTTATAATATCCAATAAAGCTCTACTGTCTTTCCATTTTATTATTCTTGTTGCCTCATATTTCTGTTTAATATCTCTCTCTACTCTTACTTTGTGTGCTGTATGGAGTGTGGTAACTCGAACTGTTGCACATCGTTACAAAGTTCTACGTTGAAACCAGTCAGTCAGTCAGCAAAGGTAGTTATTGATGAAAATCTGCTCGTGACGAAATGAATCTCAGGATTATACTGTCGTCTTAATTACATCATCTGTTTGATTCTCTACATTCTGAATGCATTCTTTGTATGAAAACAAGAATTATGTTTATTATTAATAATAATACTGTCTTTCTTTTCTTCAGAGAAAGTTTAATTGGTGAAATCACGACATCTGTGAATGAATTGTTACAAATGTATAACAGTGGTGTATACTCTCTTGACGTAAGTTTTATGCAGTGGATGAATTCAATACCAAGTGTACAAATAAAGAAAATACTTACATATAATTTGTTTGATTAGAGTAATTACTTTTTTTCGTCTACTTTATTGCCATAATATTTTATACCAAAAAGGTTTTCATTAAAACAAAATTCTAATGAAACGGTATATTTATCAGGTATAAAGACAAATTAACCAAGTAGTTTACTGGAATATAGAATTGCTCTTGAAGTTATAGTTTTATCATATCAGGTATGAAATGACTGCTCGTGGATGACATTTGTTGACGCTGTATCGTGAATTATGAGGAGTCACTAGATTTCTATTCAGAAGCTGAATGATAAATGTGGCCGGCTATTAACATGTGAACACTCTAAGATTGACTTCTGATAGGCTGATGGATGCGCACTGTTGGGGACTTTCCGACGATAACGAAATAGCTGCCCGGTGCTCCTCAAAGCTTCTCTAATGACTTATGAAGAGTAAACCAAACATTTAAACGCAAGGCGCCGACATTATCACACATTAAAAACTTTCGTTTTATTAGAAATAAATAACAAAATATCTTTTAACATGTGAAGTAATGGTTGCTTAACATCATAACTACTTTTTTTATAATTGCGATATCTTAAAATAGCTTTTGCCAGTTAATCTAACTTACACTGAGAAATAATGTCCACATCAAAGATATATATTCACAGTATTAGAAACTCTCCATAAATCAAGATTACCTTGCCTTCTGTGACTTTGTAACACTTATTATTTATTGTATGAATTATACTATTTCACTGTGTTATATCTAAGATAAAAACTAATGTGGATTGTATGCTAATCACGCAAACCATATTGATTAAAACATCTTTAAACTTAATTTTCCATGTTGGTTATCATTTTTCTAAAAAAAAGTTCGTTCTACCATGTCATCGTCTACCTCATGCTGTGACTGTAATGTTACAGCAACCAACTGTCTTTTTATTTATTCTAATTTCATCAGCCATAGGTTGTGAATTTAAGTAGAAGAAAAGCACGTATGTTTACAGGAAACCCGGATATTCAGACTGACGTTTAGACTTCCCTTTATGTCACTCCATATCGGTGAAATGCTTAAGTAATAGGGAAAAACAAGGAAATAGTACTAAAGAAAATCTTCGACAGGGAAGAAGACATATGAGGGAAACTGTGACACATTACAATTGCTGCGATAAATTAGCCAGGAAGTATACAGAAGGTTGTAAAAACAAAATTAGTAATAATAATAAGGACAGTATTATGTATGACGAACATACACAGAAAGATGAGAATACTAAAAGTAGGGAATTCAAAACATCAGCAGTGTTGTTATACAGAGAGGGAACATCTGAAACTTAGCATAGTATTCTTAACTAGGCAGGATTTAAAGTGGCATTGAAATCCACAAACTCACTTAGAAACAACTTATATCGGCTAAAGCATCCTATGAAGTCCATCAAACAGTAATTCAGTTTATCTTACAATGAATGTGAAGTCAAATACGTGAGTCAAAGTAAAACAGTCCGGAATCAGTTAGATTTACGGAACGCAAAAACCCAGTGAAATCTAGATTAGCTGACCGTAGTAATATATAAGGAATTCGCAAAAAAAGACCAGCTATAGCATTACATACAGTAACACACATCTCTTCAAGAGGATGGGGCAGAGTAACAGTATTAAAATGTAACGCAACAGAGTGGAGGGAGAGAGACCGGTAAGTGAAACTTCATTTATCGAATCAACTGAAAATACGTGCAATAGGAATGATTCAGCATCCTTAAGACGTACGAGAAGGAAGAAAGAGAACTATAAAATCTAAGTTCTGAAGTTCTGCAGTAGCAATTAATATGACTATGAACAGTAAATTATATGGGAAACGTCATCCAGTAAATTATATATATATATATATCCAATAAATTAATAAGGAATTACATTCTACCACGGTGGCCAAGTTTTACACTTATATAGAAAAGCGCATTCCTTTACAGTTTCCCCAAATGTTAATGAGGTAATAGTTATTACGTCAACATTTAATCTTGTGAATATTATTAGTGAAGCTTTATAAAACTGTGGTAAGATTTTACTGGCCATCAATTCATGTACACAGCTTATAATCAATCGTATTTAAACTACTTCACTAAGCAAGGTGGTAAGACGGAATACTTACACACCAGTAGTGCAAAATATCCACCTACTTAACTATTCGTGAAGTAAACAGTGAAACACTTGTTCCTGAAATATACCTAAAATGGACTATATTCATTATTATTATTATTCTACATTTAGGGACTAGAGGCTTAAAAGTTGATCGACTATAGTGTACTGATGCATCAATTTCATCAATATTTTCTCTTTCTCTTATTTCTTCTGCTTATTTTGATTTAATTTATTCATTAATCCTTAAACAGTGGTATTTTTTCTCTCTTTTCCCTCTTTATAATCTCTAGCTTATTAATCCTCGTAAGGCCAAAAGGCATAAACATTATCAGAATTCTGGAACTGTAAGTATCATTTCTATTGGTTATTTTATATAGTGAAAGCGAATACAAATCTCTTTTTTTTGTTGTATATTTTCGAATTCCTATTCTGTTGACTTTGATCACAGCATAACAGTGGGAATAAGATCGACAGTTTAACGTACTCATGATTTTATAAACTAGCTTTAGTCGGTTACTTTGATGTGAATATTTTATGTTATATGGACTGTTGTCACCTAGATAAACATAAGAAACTCAGAAAAACCGGAGATCAAACTGATGCCTCTTTCCGACTCTTCATCGATGTGTGTTAAGAACCAAGTGTAAGACTATTCTGTTACAAGGCAAATACTTTACCACTCAACAGTTGTACTGAAATGCAGTTGTACATGACCTCCAACTTGTGTAACTGACTGACTGACTGAGTGGTTTTAGGAGCTGTGTCCACGTATTAAGATCTCATCGTGGTCTATCAACAGCTGCAAGTTAAGTCGGGATGTACAATTTCCGTCTTTGACCATTTTTTAACCCTTCCCCCTCTCCAGAGCTGAGGGGCAGTATAGCTGGCTTGCTGGTCATCCGATGGGAATACCTCACTACTGTCGCCAACACTACGAATTCTCTCACAGACCCCCAACATAGTATAAACGACCTACACTATGACCGTTGACTGTTGTTAGTCTAACCACTATACAAACGACATTTTTCGCATGTTAGGATCTTCATGAACATAAGTTCCAGCCAGTGTAACTTGTTGGGTCATTACGATATGCAAGGCCAACCACCACCATCAAAGGTAACCGCTCTTGGTTGGGAACTTGTGTAACTGTTTCCATAATCCCAACATATGAAAATACTGCAATACACTGTTATAAAATACTTTTTTAAAGTTAATTTCTACTGCTATATGTATATATAGTGGCAAACTGTTCATTATGCCATCTTTTACCCGTATAAACCTTGATTTATGTGATGCTACAATTGTAATTTACACACTGGAAATTTGTTTTCCTTTAGAGTTGTTCTATTGAGGTCTAATACTAAACACTTTTTATTATTTCACCGTATGGTGGGCATTAAGTTATTTTATCGACAGTATAATTTCAAAATTCTACTGTTATTTATCTTCATCATAATACCTAACTATTCATTTCATTTACTAGTAATATTCATTTATAAGGAGGATTTATTCTAATCGCCATATACACACATTTAACTTTTTTCCCTTCAAATATATGCTTGACTACCTACAGAATTATAATAGAGAAGTCTCTCTCCACACTGTATAACAATCCAGGCTTAGAGACGACCATTTACTAAATACACACACGTGAGAGGAAATACTAAATGTGTAGGCTTTACAGCTGTTGATAAGTATACACACGTATATGGCCTATATGCAAGCTAAATAAAGTCACACTAAGCTAATGTACTGTTGAGAAAAAACAACAATGAGAACGTCTGTGAGTTTAGTTGGTCATAAGAAGAATGAAGTCTTTTTAAAAAAAAAATTCTATTAGTTTATTTTATCCCTACAAAACATTCTATCACTGGAATGGAAAGTGGGAGAAAATGGCTCATGATTATTATTATTATTATTCAAAAGTTGGGAGTATGGGGATTTCGATTGATTTCAAGGTAGTTTTTCCTATAGACCAAGATCAGTTAGAGGGTCATTGAGAACTATGGAGCACTCACTGAAGGTCGATTCTGTCCTAGTTCTGAACTTTCTAGAAATGCATACTCATGAACTTTGCGTTGCAAGCTGAGCATGTTTACCATTCAGCTATTGGTTTATTATCCGGTAGCCCAATATCAGAAGTGATATCTCCTGGAGTCGTAATAAAATGTTGTGATCGGTGGGGTACACTAAAGTTGGATGTGAGGAAAGACGCTCACGGATGATATTGGGTCATGGTAGTGTCGGGAATCGACAGAATTGAAATTGAATTCAATTCCTCATTTTCAAATAAAGAAGACCTAATTCATGTGTTATGTGTAGTGTATATGCTCAACATATTTTGAACATTCTGATGATACACGTACTTGTTATACGTTAACAGATTATAAAGGGTAAAAATTGAACTGACATAAGGTAAAACGTCAACTCAGGGGGTCAAAATCATAGATAATGCGTAAGAAAAACAAACGAATAAGCTTTGGTTTTAAACTTCCTTTAACAAAACAGGTTCAGAATAATAGCAGATAATTTCTAAACTTACAAAACAGGTTTATGCCTCAAGAAATTTGACTACATACCTTAAAATGTTTAATACATGGGCGCAAAAGAAGTGTTAAAAAATAACTTTATGACGCATTTCTGATGTGCCTTGAGACAGATGACTTTAGACTGTGTTATTTAATTTAACCTTGCATCTTTGGATTGTACTTCGTAGCCCTAACTTATTGAGATATCCAATGTGGAATAAAACTGTGGTGAGAGCTGTCTACAAGCCAGAATTGTAGACAATAATTTACGTCACTGTTTACGTCCCTAATCAGGGTCATGAGAAAAACAGTAACAAGTTGTGGAAATATGACTCACAGATATACGGCTTGATTTTTTGAGAAACGGCTACGAAGAGATAACAGAATAACCTTTAGCAAGAAAACAACCAATCTGAAGAGGTTGCTTCTCCGCTAACAATAACGCTAATAATAATGCACATAAAAATCTATAAATACCTCTTGATTTTCTCAATAAACGATCTGTTGCCTGGCCATTGTCTTCTGTCGTTACAAAACTGTTAAAAGACTAACAGAAAAGAGGCTCTATCTGAGAGCTATTTCATCTGTTCATGAAGATTATGTTTTGTTCGTTGTGGCGTATACTTCATAACCTGTGCACCGTAGATTCAAATATTCTTTATTATTATTATCATCATTATTATGATCATCCATCTGACGAAGGTAGATAAATCCACTAATATTTGCATAATGCCATTGGTTTATAATCAGACACGCCAATATCTTTGTCTTTCGAATGAATATATTTTTTTTCTTAATGTTACGCTCTGTTGAAAATTGTGATTTTTCTAATCTTAAGAATTTTGGTAAAATAATCGAAGTCTTGTTTTTTAGAATATTTTATGATAATATTTAAGAAATATTGAAATTCCAGTTGTTTTATTATTATTATTATTATTATTCAATCATTCTTCTTCCCCTTTTTCAATTCTCTTTATTCTTAAGCTTCATTTAAATTTGGTGAGAGTAGAGAAAATATACAGCTTTTTGGAATATGTACAAGGAGGGTAGGTTCATTGAGTGATTTGTTGTATTGCATTATTTATTATTACTATTTGTATACAGTGTAAGAAATATCTGATAGATATACTTTGAATACGTTCCATATCTCCTGAAGAGTTATTCAATACCAGCCAAAGGCTTTTGCCCTTGAAGTTGGTTTTTTAAATCTGAGACGTCTACGAGTTTATGTGCTTAGCAAGTCAAACACAGGAATATTTATAGCGTAGTTATCACCCAGTTATTACTTCCTTTTTAACTACAGTCATTTCATGATATATCACAGTAGTTATTTAGTTCTATTCACACTAGTGACTCTCTTTACTAGGGAAATCAAACCATGAAGGAGGTGGGTGGGTGATAGCTATAACTTTCATCTTTGAAAGCTTGGCCAGTGGCTATGTTAGGGAGGAATGGACAACAAGTTCAGCAAAGCTGTCATCTCAGCAGCTTCATCCTCAATAGCTATATATATATATATATATATATATATATATTAAGTGCGTCGCTAAGCTAGTAGTAAGACTAGTAAAGAGGGAAGGTTGAGCATGAGGCTAGCAACCCCATCCTGTAAAAATAATCACCACTGATACGGAAACTTCAAACCTCTAGCTTGAAGCCCTATGTTCCACTGGGAACGTAAAGGAATAATATATATATATATATATATATTCACGCAGTTACAATTATTATTTAATTCAATATAATAATAACGAAGGGAGATTAGAGGTGATAACAATTTTTCAACTTGATGTTAAAGTTTGAAGGCGTGAATATAAATTAAAAGGGGGCGTAGAAACAGAATCAAATCAGACTAGAAGATAGCTTTTTTACAAAAACAGATGTGGACGAAATTTGCGTGGAAACAAAATGAAATTTATGACATGAATATGTAAAAAATGAAAGGAATGAAAAACAAACAAATGAAAATTAAGGAGTTAAACGTGAGTAAATCCATGGTAGATGTAAAGGTTGGACTAGCTTCTTCGGAACACACAGCTCCAGCCACTCAATGCATATGACGAGGGCTTCCGCAGTAAAAAGAATTCGGAGAGACACTGTCCACATTTTAAGTGAGTCTGAGTGATCAGTCGGTCAAGATGGTGTGACAGGTGTTTGATTATGGCGCTTCTGATTGAACGAGTCCCGCCTGTTTGCAGTCATACTGGGTAATGTTCTCTAACACGTTTCGAAAGGACGTGCATAGAACAACTTATGTATCCAGTTCCAAAAGAACACGTGAGTGATCGTATACGAGAGTTCGTCTTTCACATTGTTTAGAAGCAGTGAGTGGTTAGAGAATATCACCTTTAGTGTTGCTACAGGAAAGGTCTTCCTTAGGGAACTAGATATTCTCTTTAAAATATCTGCCAGTAAGTCCTCTTTGGCGTCCAGATTCATATATAGTTTTCTTTCCTGGCACTGAACTGCATTCTTCTCTTTTCGGCTTCGATTTCATGTTCTTCTCCACGAAACCTGCAGGGTGTCCATTTTGAATCAGGATATTTTTGAGAATTAAGGGCTCATCCTCTAAGCAATCAATGCTGCAGATTCTTCTGACACAGCAGTCAAGTGAAGTGATGAGAGCTCTTTCTTGACTCACAAGTATCCAACTATAAAAGTTTGTTAGCTGGACATTCCATAATGGTTTTTTGTGGATAAATCTTTTCAAAGTCCCATCATCTCTTGTTAATTCTTTATCCAGAAATTGGATCTTTGATTCATTTTTTAATTCCTTTGTGAATTTCATTGAAGGATAACAATTATTAAATTCTTGTTGGGTACAAATTAAATGCGAATCACCATGGCAGAATATAAAAGTGTCGTCGACTACCCTTTTGTACAGGAATGATTTTTCTACTGTTGATTTTAAGATTCCATTTCCTAAACTGGTCATAAAGCAGTCTACCGAAAATGAGTAAGCAAGAGAGCCAATTCCATCTTTCTGTCTGTAGATGTCGTCGGTGAATTTGCATTATGCATCAGTTGTGCATCACAATTACAACTCTTCAAGATATGAATTTGGTATCCTGGTGCTCATGTCATCCATATATTTACACAGGGGACAAATCATTTCTGTGGGCGACTCATTGGTAAATAGAAACTCTACGTTCAGTGATAGCATATGTTACATTCAAATTCTCGTACAATCAACAGATTCCAAAGTATCTCGAAGAGATTACTCACATAATTGTCGCCTTACAGGCTCTAATATTTCGGACAACCTTTTGGCAATTGGATAGGTAGGGTGACCCTGACCTATGGAGAATTCAGTCAGTTAGTATTCTAAATCGCCCTGCTTAATGGTCGTTCACTTTCCATTTATGCTTATTGTTATTTGGCTTTCGTATAATGCAAGGAAATGCAGCTTAATGACTATATCTGGTTTCCATCAGCATTTACTTTTCTCCTATATTCTACGATGCACTACAACATTTGTAATTTGAAATAATAAGAATGAAATAGATGTGTAATTAAGTTACTCTGTCAAGTATGCGATATGAAAAGCGAATGGCAATTACTTTCATTACACTAGTATAAAATCAGAGTTTCTGGGGGGGGGGGGGGAAGGAAACAAACCAACATTTTTCAGTAACTATTAATTATAGACGCTCAATTTTACAAATCATAGAGTGTGTTGTACAGAACATTATGTTTTATTTCGTATGTGTGTATGTAGAAAATATTCGAAGATGCCAATTCTTTTGTAGTTGACAGTTAGCCACCTATGAAATTCTACTTAACAGTATAATTTAAAGCAGCAGTGTTTACAGGCTTGATTTTTAGTCCTTGAGACTTAAAATCAATATCATAATCTACCGACTTATGGCTATTACAAATAGTCTCATCAGGAATTACTCCAAGTTAAGTCACAAACTGATTTCAGTGAGAGAATTCGTAACCAGTAGGATCTACCAAGTTGGATGTTTGAGGAAAGGCTCTCCAATGACATCCGAAGAAGTTAGAATTCGTAGGTCATTGAATTCCGTCCTACTAGCTGAATGGTCAATAGGCTCACTTCGTATCTTGAAGGTTCTGGGTTCAGTCACTAGCGGTGAAGTCATAAAATGTACTGATGACGAGTCCCAAAGTTGGGGGACAAAACAATTGCCCAGTGCATCCTGATTTTTTGCGGTTCTCTAGCTGATGTCAGCTTATGATCTAACTTAAAATCAATTAAATCGCTGTATGCTGACACTAAATAATTTTCACTTTATAACTATTAATTCGTGTTGATAAATTTATTATTGCTAATAATAGTAAAACGTAAATTTTTCTTTTCCATCTTTTATAATAGCACTGAACTGAGCTGTTGTATTGCAATCGATTTTACAGCAAGCAATGGTAGTCCACAAGTTCCCGGTACACTGCATTACAGTACAATTTCACAGCCATCACAATATGCATTAGCTTTACAAGCTGTCGGTGAGATAATCAGTGATTATGACAGGTGAGTGAGGAATGAAGAGAAAACAAGCAGATGAAAAAGAATATTTTCTAGATCATTGATCTTTTTTTTAAAAAAAATAACTACTTTCTATTTATTCTAGTATATATATAAATATATAGGAAATGTTTTTTGTTCCAGTCCTAAAAATATGTAAGCAAACACACAAACACACATACAGCCTTGTTCATTATTACTAAGCTGAACTCTATGTGAAGATTATTCTCGTGTGTGTGTGTGCGTGTGTGTGTGAATATATTTTTAAAATTAAGTGAGTTCTCCTTTCACTGTCCCTATCTCTAACTTGTTTTTAGTTTATCTTCTAGTTCATCATATTTGTTTTGTTGTGTATTACTGTTAGTAAGCAAACACTGTTTTGACTTCAATGATCAAGGCTTAAATAAACATTTTGTTTTGATGTAAATATTTCCTGATGATATAATCTCATCTTTATACAAACACACACACACACACACACATTCACATATGCTTAGTTCCCTTGATAGATTTGTAAACAATTCAGTCATATTGAGTATTATTATTCTCTCGGATACCCAATAGAACACATAGACGGCTTTAATAGTGAGCTCCGTTGTAACCCTGTTCTCTGATGTGTTTTTTTCCAACTGGTTCCATAACTGCTCATAAGCTTTCGTCTCCTCCTTGCATGATCTTCTCCATGTCATCCTTAGTCCAGCACCCAACTCGTTGTTACCCATTCGGGTGACACTGGAGGGTCTGTCTGTCGCGTGATGTCACTCAGCACTTTCCTTGGTTTCATTGATATAAGAATAAAACTTGGGCACTGTGGTAGAGTGTAATTCCATAATGGGTAAATTTTTATTTTGATAGAGTCTCACAGTGTTATACAGTAATATTTACTGATGACGTTTCGAGCACAAACTATTGCTCATAATCATATCAAGTTACTCACACAACTTCTTTCCTTCCACACATGTATATAAATGAAGGAAAGAAGTTGTGTGAGTAACTTGATATGATTATGAGCAATAGTTTGTGCTCGAAACGTCATCAGTAAATATTACTGTATAACACTGTGAGACTCTATCAAAATAAAAATTTACCCATTATGGAACTTTCCTTGGTTCATGTCTAGTCCATCTCCAGCTAGCTTAGTTTGCTGGCCGGTTTTAGGCCCAGAAAATGAGGGAAAGTTGCGGGTGAAATTAGTAATCCTAGATCGGATAATCAATTCAATCACTATAGAAACTTTAAAGCACAGAAAAATATATGTAAAAGGGACAATCCAATGTAAGAATAATATTAGTAATGATAAGGTAGTATCATTTTATATTATTATTGTTACATTATTCTTTCTTTTTATCATCTACCAACAACCTAAGTGAATAAATTAATAATAATAATAATAAACATACAGAAGTATACACGTGTACATGTAATTCTATGATCGAGTGTTTATGTTACACTAAAGAAGGAAAAATACATACAAGAATTCAATATATACAATGTACTCAGCAAAGATATACACTTATCAGGCAATTGAAACAACTAGTAATCTATATGACAATTTATTATTGTTTTATTCAAAAGATACACAAACTTGGTCTCGAAATTAGCGTCAAGTTATGCACCGTTGAGAATAATAACAACAATTTGAAGGAAAAGATTTGAGGGACGAAAGAATAGAAATTATAACATGTTCGAACCACTAAGTTGTATCATCTCTCGACTCTCGTCAAGATAGTCTTAATGTACCAATCAGTAGATGCTAAAGCAAAGAAACTTATCTACCATCTCACGATACCAATTTACAAGCTGATTGTATCTCTTCTACTTTTATCACGGGTCTTAGTTCTAAACAATTGTGAACTGTATGGAAACTCCTGGGATGACACGTTACACCTATCCAAACCAATGTATCCGTTGTCTTTTATAACTGTCATTAGAATGTCATCAGTGTCATGGTTAAGGAAAAAAACGGGGAGATTAAGCAACTTTACCTAACTGCAGTGGTGAACAAAGCGGTAATGGCATGCAGTTGTATTCTATCTGAGGGATTTTTATGATTATTTCAGATTTATTCCCCAGGTACATCTCTTCCTAACAGACAGTTACAGAAGACAGTTAAATGCCGCTCTGATATCAAGCAGTATAACTGTTTTTCACCTGCAATACATCTGATGGTGTTCTAACATCTAGCACATAGCGATTACTGCAACCAAAGCCTGAACAAAATTCAACCTGGCTTTCGCGAATTATTTTGTCACTCATTTTATCGAGTTTACGAAGCATGACAACAACAACTTGTACTTCAACAACTGTCATATAATTTTTCTGGCTTCTTTTAAAAATTGGTACAAATAACACTGTCATTCTGCATTGGTAGGACACTCATCTTCCCATAATTTCCTGTGGTCGCAGACACCTATGATCAAAGACTAGCTGTCTTTGATCATAGGTGTCTGCGTTCTATCTCCTGTGTGAAGTGGTATGATAAGGTGAGCAATATTGAGGTTAGACGTCGAGTGCTAGGTAAGGAGGGGAAATCAGTCGACGAGACTGTGAAATTACATCGACTGAGATGGTTAGGACATGTGTTACGTATTCCTAGTCATCGCCTTCCTCGACAATGGGCAATGTTAGCTGATATAGGGCCAGGCTGGAAAAGAGCTAGCGGCGGTCAAACGAAAACATGGCACCAGTCAATGAAATCTACAACAGTTAGTCTAAGCCACGTAGGAAAGTGTAGACTTCCTGGTTGGAGTCTTCGGGACGGTAAAAAACAATGGTTGAAAACAATTGGTGACATGGTTCAGAATCGTTGTCAATGGCGCAGATGCATCCACCCCTTGTGACTTATGATTTCCAATGAAACTGTTTCGTTTTTCGTTATTACTATACCTTTGTCTCACACCTCTGTTTACTGTCTCTAATATGCATTTCTTCTGCTTTCTTCTCTTCCTTTGTGTGCTAAATGGAGTGTGGCGCACATATGTGCAAAGTTGTATGTCGAAAACAGACAACAGACAGACATAATTTCCTGAATAATCCAAATAATTTCATGACTAGAATCTCACAACTGTATCACAAAAACAGGCCCAGAATAATTTGTCTCGGACGGCTTATCACTTTTACGGTATTTAGAGTTCCTTGTCAGCATCCGCTTTCTTAGATTTGGTATAAGTGGAAATCACAGGTAGACAAGTGGTGGAGTTACTCTGTCAATAACTTATGATAATGAGAATAAGCTACAAAGTGAGCTTCTTCGTAATAATAAATAATATATGAGCGCATCAGTTTAAATTCAGTATAGTTGTGTTCTCTGAGATAGTTTAATTTTGAAGGTCTCATTGTCCTTCTGGACAACATCTTCAGAACAACCTTCAGTGTCAAGTGATTTCATAATAAAAGCTTCTTATGTAAGCCTACAACACCATATATATATACATACGGTTATTATTCACAAGTGAATATAACTAATCAGTCTTAATTAACATTATTAATAACAACTGGTTATGACAGCAAAACAAGTTAAGGGGGAAATAAAGGTGAATTTGATCACTTTTAAAACATTTGATTTCACCAATGAAAAAACAAAAGTTCACCATCTGAATAATCAATTTATATAATAAACAACTAATTGATGAAAGCAAACCTTTTCAAACTGGAAAAATTGACCTTCATTTCCTGCTTATGCTATGTTTACATGTTTCATCAACAGAGATGATCTACATTAACATTGATTATACATACTTATATGTTTAAAATTTAATTTCTAATTCTTGATTGTTACCTTTTTTTCTCGTCTTTGCAGTGATAACCTGTTCCCTTCATTTGGATTCGGTGCTTGTATTCCACCGGATAACACAGTTTCACATTGTTTCCCTTTGGTGAGTTGACTTCTACCATTTAAAAAAAATATTTGTACGTCCTTTTGACCGATTATATTGAATTGAAATCCTCAGCCTCTGTTGTCTTGTTGACTCCTAGTACGGACACTTTGACGACGTTTGAAAGTGTTAATATGAGGTGTATTCTGTGGCTTAGATCCAGCATTTGCATTGCATCCTATTTAGGATTTGACAGCTGGATGTAAGCGCAATCTGAGGATGATTTCACTAGGACTCGAACCCAGCACCCATCGTTTTAAATACCAAAGCGTCATCCACTGGGCTTTCCACTAGGGTCATGACAGCCATCTATTATGCAATGGGTATCAGTTGTAATCTGTTCAAGTTAATTTTGTATTTTCCGTTGATTCCTGATTTTGTGCTGGAATGCTCAGTTTCTGTTCATTTTTCTTTGAAGTGTAAATTTCATTTAATTCATTTTGATTTTTTATACGATTTATTCGTCTTCTTTAGTGTAGTGTATTGTAGTGCACTGCACTGTAGTGAATGATGAATGTTATTGGGATGAAGAACAGCTCTAATACTGTTGATTATTTCACTCTATAATGGTATTTTACTTCATACTACTTTTATCGATATTGTCTCTTCTTCTACTTCTTCCCATTGTCTTTTCCACTTTCGTTATCAAGGCAGCCTGTAGAGTGTGGTCAGGTGAAGTTGTGCCGTACAAAATAGTGTGACATTGAGTATATCGTGTAAGACATTTTAAGAAGGTTATCATGACTGATGATATTTCCTTTTGCCTAGTCAAAAACTACATTCTATCTCTTATCAGAAGTGGTCCGAGTTAATGAAAACATTCTAAACGGTGCATCTGTTTTTCATACAATATCATTTTTTTTTGCGAAATGACAACCTTCTCCTATATATATATCACTTAGTGCTAGTATTCAGAAATTATGGAGGTTACTTTATTAAAACTAACATTCCCCTAGAATTCCTGACATAAACAGGTTGCTGAAGTGATAAATGTTTTTGGATTCTTGTTTTTTTTCTGATAGGAAGCATTTAACTGTCATATAAAGTAATGTCTTCCATTGCCTTACTTACTGTAGCTGGTATCACTCAGTGGTGCTATTCTTTCTCCTTACATGATTTGCTTCATTCTGATGAAGTCAATTTCGTTGAGTATGCATATATGTTTTTACTGTTTCCATAACGGTTATCTCTCAGTCAGATTGTTCCAAAATAAATAGTTTTTCATAAAAAATTATCCAAATGTTAGATTATTAATTTCACTTTCAGACACAAATGTGATTTTTTTACATGAATTGATTCGTTCTTGTAATTCCTTTATCATAGATGGCAATAGAGTTGAAACTAAGTTGGATTGTCTTATACCTTGGGTTGTGTCTTTTCTGTGTTCTTTCATGGTCGTCTGACATGTAGCTGATTCCTAGAAAAATATTTCTTCTTCTGTTAAGATAATCTGGGTTTCTACTTTTATATAATGATAAGCTTTTCTGATTTTTGGTAATATATTTCGAGCAGAATTGCTGTCAACATCCTGGATTACAATTCTGAATGCATAAAAATGAATGAACAAAAAAAGAACTATATATATACATATATATATGAGTACAAATAATAAATGTGCGAATTAAAATCAAAACAATTCCAGCAGTTGGTGTGATAACGGGTAGTAATTTCGCCCGAAATATTACCAAAAACCAAAAACTTATCATTGTGTACAAACCATTGAAATATAATTGTACCATTGATGATATTAGATGGTTGGAGGCAATCGGCAGGAAGCCTTGGACCTAGGTTTCATGCTAGTTGGCACTCATCAGAAAGGCGTATCTGCAACCTTGAAGGAACTCATGTCCCTTCTGAGATTCGAACCCGTGTCACCCAGTGCTGCAGTCAGAGACGTTACCATTGAGCTATTCAGGCTCGCGACTGATCTCCTGTAGGACTGTATTGGATATTTTTGATTGCACACTAGTCAGTAACTGGTGTGATGTGTCTAGTCCTCTCTTTGGTGCAGACTGAATTCTATCAGTCAGGTTTGTAATGTGGCCACTATTCTAGGTAGCTCGCCATCAACTAGTGCCAACTAGCACGAAACCTAGGTTCAAGGCTTCCTGCTGATTGCCTCCAACCATCTAATATCATCAAATCAATGTGCACCGTGATGCCGAGCTACCTAGAATGGTGGCCACATTACAAACCTGACTGATAGAATTCAGTCTGCACCAAAGAGAGGACTAGGCACATCACACTAATTACTAATGTCAAATCAAAATATAATTATACCTTATTTGATCTGTTCCACAATACTCAAACCTTTTACTGACATTAATTCTACCTTTATAGTTTGTTAATTCTTATATTCCAACTATTCTCATTCATTGTTTCCTCTTTCCTGGGCTACTTAAATAAGATTTTGTTACATTGTGAAAAGCAATAAAGCTGTCAGTAGGGCGAGTGGGGTGTCACTAAATCAACCTGTTAAAACTGTTATGGAGAGAGACGTGAATTCATGCAAGAAATCGGCGAATATCTTATTTTTGGACTATGAGCATCCTCATTACACACAACTCTTCCGTTTGCGTCCCATCAGGCAGTACTGAAACAATTGTAAAAGACTTGATTCTTGGATGACTAGGTATAAACACTTATTTGGCGCGCATTTTATGTAGTGAGGAAAGTATTAGACATGAGACTACCACCTTACCCTAAGACAGCAAGTAAACGGCTCATTTTATTCTTTCAGTCATTAATAAATTGCTGTCACTATTTCCACTGACTTTTAAGTTTAATTTTACATTCATATTCTTAATGAAATTATTATGACTGTAAATGCCCTGTGAATTATTTCCCCGCCCCCCCCCGTGGTATATTAATGCATGTTGAAAATTATATTCAATACTGTACTACATGCTAAAAATTCCACATTACATAAAAAAGTACTGTCTAGAATAAAGCCGTTATTTTTTGTTATTTGTTTGAATAAGAATTGCAGCTCTTAAAAGTTTCATGCTTTAGTAGGTCTTCGAAAGCGAGACATCAATGTGTATGATACTGCAGTAGGATCAATCTTTAGGTGGTTTCTCCAGTTTGTCTTCTTTGTTCCTATTACTTGAATAAATTAATTGTAATTCATCATTTTATAAAAAGTTATCCGTGGTATAGTTAAAGCTTTTGTTCTGTACACTTTTTGTTCAGCAAACTTTATCACATTTTAGGCAGTTATATTTCTGTGAATAACTTGTGACTGATTTTCACCTGATATCTTGTTTATGCTATTTCAAATCATACAGACGTCATTGTTCCTCTGCATGTGATATTTCCAATATCCTTATTATTATTAATAATATTTTTTGGAGGCGATTAAAAAATTAGTTATACAAAATCTAAATAGACGGAAGGGAAACAGTAGAATATATATGTGGTGCCATCTATTTGGCAGTGATTTTATATCCTGATGTGTTTTTTTTCTCCCAAAGCGTCTTTATTGAATTCAGTGTCTATGTCTACCCCTTTCTGTATTTTGGACTGATTATGTAGTTTCGTATTATTACCTTTTTATATATCAGACTTTCTGTATACTACCCATTCGATTCAATGTTTATGGTTAGGTTGGTTATAGGCTACTGGTAATATCCAATATGCGAAATTTGATTTTCAACCAAATTCTGTATATGCATACATGCATAGATACATACATACATACATACATACATACATAGACATATAGGTATATTATGCATAATTATACAGTGCTTGTAACTGGCTCCGGGAGTGCAATCAAAGTGTTAGGTGCATATGGGGTAGGGGAAATAAGTTAGTTTGTCCTTATTATACATGCACAGATAAAATCAGTTCACTTATTCGGCTTTACTGAATGCCGTTTTTATAGTGTCTGTAAATGCTATTGCATTTTCGATAATAATTATAATAATCATAATAGTATCTTCAAGAAACTGCTTTCTTGGAACTGTCGATACACTAGTTTTCCTTTGCAGAGAATTCATGGGTTTATTAAGAATCTTTTCTGAATATCCATTTTTACTGAATAATTCATGGATCTCCCTGAATGGGATATAGACACAGGTCCTCCGTCTTTAACTGAGGTTACTAATGCTGTCACTAGTCTGAAGCAAGACAAAGCAGCGGTACCCGATGGAATGGCTCCAGAGGTATTTAAGTACAGTGGAGACAGTTTACTGTCTGCATTAACTGAGGTTCTAGGCAGCGTTTGGGAATCAGAGGAAGTCCCATCGGGTTGGTGTAAGTCACTGATCATCCCGATATACAAGAAGGGAGACAAGTCTTCTTGTGATAATCACAGAGGGATTAGCTTGACTAATATAGTATCCAAAATCCTAGGCTCAGTAATCATGCGTAGACTAAGTGGTGCTCGGGAGGCACAAACACGAGAAAACCAGGCAGGTTTTAGGCCAGGAAGAGGGTGTATTGATCATATCTTCACCCTCCGACAGATTCTAGAACATGGGCATTCCTACCGGCGTCCAACAATCATTATATTTCTTGACCTAAAGGCGACATTCGATTCTGTCGACCGAGAGGTTCTCTGGCGATCCTTGGCTGTAAAGGGAATGCCGAGAAAATACATTACACTGATTAAGGCACTCTACTCGTACTCACGCAGCCAGGTGAGGGCTTATGACGAGTTGTCATCTGAAGTGGTGACGACTAGTGGCGTCCGTCAAGGATGCACATTATCCCCATTCCTATTCAACTTCATCATAGATGTACTAATGGACTTAACCCTAACTCACTTCAGAGACTCAGGGATTGACTTGCTACCAGGGAATAATCTCGTCGACTTGAAATATGCGGACGATATAGTCCTTCTAGGCGTGGACGCTGACAAAATGCAGAGTCTTCTGAACACCTTGAGCAGCAATCTTCGTATGTTTGGCATGCGATTCGCCCCTGTAAAACGTAAGATGATGCTGCAGGATTGGACTTCACCGACCCCTAGATTAGAAATAGGAAGTGAAGTGGTA